TTCGCAATAAAAGATGTAATTTTCATTATTTTCTAGGGGGACACAAAATCAGTTCTTTATAACTGTAAATTCACTAAATCTGAGTTTGTTATATCCCTAAAAATTTTACAAGGAATTGTTAAGAATTTTGTCAGGGATTGCAAAAAACTTCGCTATATTCATAAATTCGCTACATTCGTGTTCATATTAAATGAGTTTTACTGTATATGTTCCATAAAGTCTAGTACAAGTCCTGAATTAAAACTCTTCTTTCTCTTAGTCTAGGATACTGTTTAATAACATGGAATATGCGTGTGTGTGGGAGATCTATTTATGCCAAGTTTATGAGAGTGAGTGGACTTTCCCTTAACCTTATATAATTTCTTCTATTTTATTAAAATATTGTGACATGGAAATGGCTCCCAAATGAATGTATATTCCATTGATTTATGTGATTATAATTACACTCTGAAATATCCAGAAATACAGTAAATTAATTGTACTCAATCACTTAAGCTATTCATTTTTAATGTCAAAAAATTAAATAGATAAAAGGTTTTGTGAATGTTTTTTAAACAAGAGGCCCATGGGCCACATCGCTCACCTGAGCACATTGGCTAGGAAAAAGCACAAATCACTTCATTATTGAAAAGTTTAAAGGGGGGGCTTGGATTTTGAACTACCTGAGGATGCTTCCATATCAATATAACAAATGGCTTTGCTGTTCTTGAGCAGAAGATTTTTAAAGATTTTTTTCCTATATATTCCCTTGTTAAAACATTGATCCCCCATTGTGGCCCCACCCTAACCCTGGGGGTCATGATTCGAACAAAGTTAAATCTACACTATCTGAGGATGCTTCCATATCAATATGACTTAACAAGGCTTTGCTGTTCTTGAGAAGAAGATTTTTCAAGATTTTTTTCTATATATTCCTATGTAAAACATTGACCCCCCATTGTGGCCCCACCCTAACCCTGGGGGTCATGATTCAAACAAAGTTAAATCTACACTATCTGAGAATGCTTCCATATCAATATGACTTAACAAAGCTTTGCTGTTCTTGAGAAGAAGATTTTTCAAGTTTTTTTTTCTGTATATTCCTATGTAAAACTTTGATCGCCCATTGTGGCCCCACCTTATCCCCAGGGGTCATGATTTGATACAAACTTGAATCTGCACTACCTGAGGATGAATCCACATCAATATGACTAATTGTGGCTTTGTTGTTCTTGAGA